ACGGGGTTTCACCATATTGACCAGGATGGTCTCGATCTCTTGACCTCGTGATCCACCCGCCTCGGCCTCCCAAAGTGCTGGGATTACAGGCTTGAGCCACCGCGCCCGGCCGCCGAAATAAATTTAACATAAGGACTAGGAGTAAGTTGCAGAAACTTCCTGGAAAGCAGAACCAAAAGAAATGGCAAATGTAACATGAAAATAATTATCCAGAGAGTTATCATTTGACTGTGGTTACGGGAAAAGGAAATACAGAGAAAACTACCAAATAAATAAACTTTTCTAGAAATGAAGAACACAAATCTCAAAATTCAAAGGGCTCAAGGCTACATAAGGGGATCAAAGAAAAAAAGACCAACACTAAGCAAAATATATCATCTTGAAACTGCAGAAAACCAGAAGTAACAGGAAGATCCTACTAGAGTGGAAAAAATGGGTCACATACAAAGAGAACATACTCAGAATGGCTTAACAGCAACAAAAGTCTTAAGACAATGAAATAATGCTTATAATACTGAGAAAAATGTTTAGCCTTGGATTTCAATCTAGCAAGTACATTTGAAGTGGAGAACACAACATGTTTTCAGACATGCAAAGTCTCAACAAAACCAAATGACCAAAAATACAACCAGAGGAAGCTAAATGAAGAGCATGTCCTAGAAAAATGGGAGTGTGGGGCAGGAAACAAGGTAAGAAACTCAAGAAGCAATGATAAAGGGGAAGTTAAGGAGGATGGTATATAGAAAGCAAACAGTTCAGACTGGAGCAGGACCTGAGGTGGCAGGAGTTCTAAGAAAAAAAAAGCATCACATGGAAACTTATCTCACTGGCACGTGGTGGAGGTGGTGGTACAACTGGAAAAAACAATGTGTATGCAGAACAAAAGGCAATTTTAAAAATTAATTTTTTAACTTGGGAAAACTTAGCTTTTCATGAAAGGAGGCATGATTTTATTAGGTGAGCTCTTTAATATTTACATAGGCATAATAATGTAAATATACACTACTGAATCAATTTGTGAGATGGAAGTGGGCAGTGGAAAAAAGAATGGTAGAAAACAATGAAAAATCATGAAATAACAGTATAAGCACACTGTTCAGAAAAATGAAAGTATCTAAGTCCTAAAACAAACAGCTAAACAGTAGAGAGGCACTGCCTTTCCAAAGTGGAACTAGAGATGAGGCAAAGGGTAAAGAAAAGGACTGCTCTTTTCCTTAGAAGCAAGATGACCATATTTCCCCATTTGCCCAAACAGTCCCAGTTTATGTGCTGAAAAATTCTAATTTATGCTCACTACCCCAGAAAAATTATTAATAGTGCCTACACTCTCTCTTAAAAGTCGCCTCATTTAGATGATAAAGCATATGGTCACCTAACTTATAAATATTTTCTACCATCAGCCTTGTACAAACTATATATGTATTTGATAAATCCATACAAAATCTTTCATTAAAAAGAGGTAAATTCTGAACTGGAAAATTTTAAAGGCATTCATTAGGAGAAAGAATATTAATGGTTAAACACTGACAATGCAAAAGTCCATGAACAATTTAACAAGTAGCAGATGTGGTATTTTATCCAGATGGCTATGAAAACATTAAAGAGAGTGTTATTTGCAATCTGAGGATTTTGAGGAGACAAAATGCTTTTTTTTAAAAGATGGGGTTTCACCATGATGGCCAGGCTGGTCTTGAACTCTTGACCTCAGGTGATCCACCCACCTCGGCCTCCCAAAGTGCTAAGATTACAGGCGTGAGCCACCGCGCCCGGCCAACAAAATGCTTTTTAAAAGACATGCATC